GGTAAATCCGATGAAACTATCACTTCTTGAAACTAATCCATTTCGTATTTCTTTCGCACTTTGTATATAACACAATCTCATACTAATCTCTACATTGATTCAATGATGAATGGATCGCTCATTCTAAGTGCTCGGTGGACCAGCGAGTCTAGTCGCGAGCCACCTCCCACATGACCATGGCAATACAGTAACAGATGGGGGAGATGAGATGGAACCGTTACTCGCTCACTGTAAGCCGTATATTAGTATCGACCAGTATGGTCTCATGGCTGGTCGCTCCACTGCCACTAACTTGCTGTACCTTACTTCCTACATCTCTAACAGTAGGTCGGATTGTGCTCCGACAGATGTAATTTTTACTGACTTATTGGCTGCCTTCGATAAATTGAATAACCGCATATCAATCGCAAAACTGGACAGGCTTGGTATCCACGGCTGCCTTTTGCAATGGTTTCAGTCGTACCGCACCGATCGCCATCTTACTGTTGTCATTGGTGGTACTTCAACGACCTTAATCTGGTAATTGAGGGACCACGATTATCTTACGCAGAGCGCGTCAGCCAAATTTAGGACCTAGGTGTGATTCTGGATATACAACTCTCTTTCAAGCAGAACATATCGTATGCCGTCGACAAAGCTTCCAGTGACCTGGCATTCGAAGGTAATAACACTCTGACTTGCGATTGTAGAATCAATGTATATTTCAGTTTCAGTTAGTTTTAATAATTGACCAATTGCGCATATGGAATTCAATATTGTTTTTATGCTGAATCATATTCTAACTTTCCCAAGTCCAATGTTGCTATGTTGCTCCCTGTTATTTACGAATCGACCCGATACCATGTGGTAATAGTCACACGCAATCGATTGCGCTTATTGCAAGTATGCTAAGCTATGCAAACAATCATTTCATTCATTGCGCCGTCTGCGTGCGTTGTTGATCGCCTTGCGCTTGACCTAGTAAACATATTAAATAAATAAATTATATTGCATTTGGGATTTCTTAGGAATGTTTATTTGAGACCCGGTGGAAACGCTTGTCATTTTGATTTACAAGTTTGATTTTCGTTTATGTTGCGCATCGACACTTTTAACGGATCTTAATCAAACTGTTTTTCAATTGGTTTTCGCATCCACCACACCAGAATTCTAGAGCGCCCATTACACATGTCAATATATTGACAAACATCGTATTGTCAATTTCCTTACAATATTATCAATACATAAACATTGACAACATTAATGACAATACGCTAAAGTGCTTGTTACGCTGGTCAATATATTGACAGTAAATTGAAATACTGACAATATGATTGAAAAGGTAATATTGATGACGATGGATTGATGACGAGTATTGTTGAACAACTGATTTTCATTTCACTTTGTCAATATTCTTCCCCTACCCAAGAGGAGGGAGAACGTACGTCATTTAGATCGACTAACTCACAAAGCACCTTCGCGCATGCAGCGAGGCATGCAGTGTTGCCATTTGTTTAAATTTTCTTGTGTGATATGCAATCGATTTCAAACTAAATAAAAAAATGTATCTTTTTACTGTCACCAATCACCCAGGCTTCGTTTAAATGGATGTACATTTTCTACAAAATCACAAGCATAACCATGTTATTTTTTGTAACTTTAAAATAAAATAAATACTATCAGCGTTTCACATACCTACATGTAACGTAAATTAATTATGATATGCATGATTTGCATTTATGAATGTTTAGCAAAAGATCAGCATGGTAGTTTCTATTTGGGAAACTGCGTACCGTTAACGTGGGGTATTCCACACGTGTAGTAATTCCGCGCACTCGACAATCGATTTGATTAAATTCGATTTTCTGTGTCCTGTCAAAAAGTCACAACATTTGGTATACCAATTTGGTGTTTGAATGACAAATTTACAGCTTACGCAGAATTACCCACGTGGTAACGTGACTCTCCATTTGATTTGCATAGAGAGTCACGACACCACGACGTGACTTTTCTAACTTCGATAGTAACAAAAATCACTTCGTTTCTCGGAATAACCCCCTATATGTATGGGTAACATTAGGTAAACATTATTGTTCTAATGAAACAGGAGAGTTCAGTGATATCAAAAATAATATTGGAAGCTATAATTAATCACCTAATTCTTACATCATTCTGAGAACTTAAGAGTAGGCCTGGAATAGATCATAATTTAACACTATTTATTCTAAAAATCCTGAAAATTAATTTGAAATGAGCAAGTATGTATGAGTAAATGTTGGGTGAAAGTTAATTTCTATGTATATCCACTAAACCCGGACTCCGCAATTTGGTAATTTTTTAACTACGGAATTGTTCGGTAAAAGTTTACAAATCAGTGCAAAATTTAAAAAAAAATTTAAATTTATACCGAAAATGATCGGACCTAGTTAACCCCTTTTGAACGATACAAAACCAATTTGAAATTTTTATTGATTTCCTTCGAGTAACGGCCATTTGAAATTTTTCCAATTTTCTCAGCTGTTACAAAACCCGGCAAAATTTACCGAATTCAGTGTGTAGCTAGTATTTTCAATACATACAGGTCCAGCAATCGTTTCTGTTTGAACCCGAATGCAAACATGAACTCTAAACACACTTTCTTTCGCTGATCCATGTTTCTTGTGTGGGGAAATTGAGACAAGTAATATTGACTTCAATACATTGAGGTAAAAAAGACTTCTAACGTATTGCCATTAATGTTGTCAATATTTGTACATCGATGATATTGATGGCGAAATTGATCGTTTTTTGTCAATACATTCTGAGTATTGAAAAAGTGAAATTAAAATCAGCTTTTCGTCAAAACTTGCCATCAATCATTGTCTTCAATATCACCTTTTCAATAATATTGTCAGTATGTCAATTTATTGTCAATATATTGATATGTGTAATGGGCGCTTAGGGCTTATCTTCAGGATTGCCAACGACTTCACGGATATCTACTTTCTTAAATCGTTGTACTGCTCTTTGTCTCGCTCCATATTATAATACTGCTCGGTTGTCTGGACTCCTCACTACAACAACGGTGCCGAAAGAGTTGAGTCTGTTCAGCGACGGTTCCTGAGATATGCGCTACGTAAACTGCCGTGGACGGATCCCTTCCGATTGCCTACGAAAGTCGTTTGCAACTGATCCCCATCGGTGCGAAGAGATACAGCAAGGGCTTTTCTAATTGGGGATATTTTGCAAGGACGCACCGATTGCCCTGTTCTCCTTGAAGAAGTTGACATCAATGTTCCGCTTACCCTCAAAATTTCCTTGAAAATTTCTTCAGAATATTCTGGAACGCTACTCAGAATTTTTTAGGAAACATGCTACAAATCTCCTGTCCAACCCTCCCAAACTTTTTGATATCTCTTCAAAAATTTTATGATTGTTCTTCAAAATAGTTTAAAATTCTGCAATGATTATGATTTTGATTATTCGATAGATCAACATTTATGTAGATCGTATATACTTACTTTGCTTGAGTTTGATTAGTTGAGGAATCTGATGAAACTGTCACTTCTTGAAACTGATCCCTTTCGTATTTCTTTCATTCTCTTTTCGCACAATGATGTACGGAGCGCTCATTCCGAGTGCTCGGTGGAGCAGCGACTTTGGACGTGAGCCTCGTCCCAGATGACCATGACACTACGGTAACAGATGGTGGACATGAAACCGACCACACCAACCAGCGAGGAAGTAGTCAACATATAACCAGGAGCGGAAATTAGTGTGGATTTATCTCCCTCGGAAAACAAGAAAAACCCGGAATCATGTCAGGACCGACCAAGGACGATATACGGAAGGCAATTGCCGGTGAAGCACGGAATGAAATACGAAGCGTTAGAGAAAAAGTCCAAGAGATTCCAAAAGAATAAATCAACGGCAGCAGACCAGCGGATTATGGTGAGACCGGGTCAAATATTCTTTATAAATTAAATATCAAAATTAATACCGTCAGGGGGTAAACAACGTCCTTGAGAGCTCAATTTTGGCATGTGGATACATTGTGTTTCAGAGCAACTATTGGCCAAATTTGAGTACTCTAGGACTTTGTTTACCCCCTGACGATAATAGGTTAAGCTATTGCCGAAGCCAACTTTTCCCTTACGTGCTAGGTTTGAAAAGAATATTTTCGAACCTGGAAGTATGTATGTAATGCCAATATCCATTTGATAACAGTGATGCATACATGAAACACAAATGAATATTCATGGGCATTCAATCTCTACCAATTCTGTTGTTCAATACCTTTGTCTCTACTTTCTCTTATCCTTCACCTATTGGCGTTGACGGCGACTCTGTAGCTCTTTACTCCTATGAGAAAATCCATAAGCAAACGTCAGACTGTGCGTGAAACATGGCGGACTTTGTACTATCCTTTCACTCCACTGAAAATTCCCATAAGAAAGTGTCTAAATTTGCTGGAAGAGCAAATTTTTCGACGATGCCATCAACGCCAATAATGCGTCTACGCTTCTATGTTAAGGATCAATTTAACCCTTATTTAATATTCGGCTGATTACAATCGACTCGCATAAGTCATTATCTAAAAGTCATCTCATCTTTATCTATTTGATTACTGCATGAAAGGTGTATAATTGGTCACCAAAATTACACTGGCGACCAGCCTCAATGCCCACTCCAGCATGGCGCAATAATAATATTAATAATAATAGTAATAAAATAATAGTTGGTAGTGTGGCGCCATCTGCGCTCATTGCCTGATTGCCTCGACATTTGTTTTCTCTACTACTAACTATAAAGCTGGTTCTCAACATAAAAGCAAAGAATGCTCTATTTAGAGTTGCAATATTCGAGAGTTATTCGGACAAATTCTGTCGTCCAAAACTGAAAAAGGGCATGGAACAAAATGGTAGGCATATTAGGATGGATTTCGGTAAGAATTGAAATGTAAAACTAACACCGACAGGAAACATCGATTTTATCCTTTTTATGTTTATTAAATAGCATACCAATTAACGTATACAATATAAATACTTCTATATTAGAGTTATCCATATAATTATTCTTAAAATAGCACTCCGTGTGTGATGCTAAAAAGGTAGTACATTCCTTTCGATCAGTTTCAGAGTCGAAGGTCAGTCGTCGTGCATTGCTATTTTCAATGCTACTTAGAGTTTTAATGAAATTATTATCTGCTCTTTTCAATTACGACGCAATCATCCTGTCTGAACTGTTACAGAATAGCTTCGGTTTTAACCGCCGCTCAAAGCTCGCGCTTTCAAGGCGTGAACATACTTTCCTCGCCAAAACTGCTGCAATGTGCTTGTTCACAAAGGTCACCCTTCAATTACCATCGAACTAAATATATCGGTCCCAGTACAGACTCCTAGGGTCGAGCAGCCCCACACGTTCAGCTGCGGCACGTGCTTCTGTCCAATCTCGCCGGTAACGTTGCGTATCGTAATGTACTGCAAAGTTAATGTTTTAAGCTGCCTCAGCTGGGACAGTCTCACATACTGCCCGTAATCGATGCTGAGCTGATTTTCATGTTCGTTCCGAAGGACAAATTCCTCCAATTCAAGGAAATTCTGGCTCATGCTTTCCAGCAAGGCATTACAATCGTAGCCGTGGCTCTCCGTTGAGCACACCACCTCCAATCGTTTGACGTGCGGAATGTGGCACATCTTTTGGACAAGCATCGACGAACGACCGTTGATGTGCAGGATCAAGTGTTGTAAGTTATCCAGGTAATCGAGGAACATGGGTGCTGCCATCTGCACGCCGTAGTAATCCATATCGAGTGATACCAAGCGATTGCCGATGTCCAGATGAAATCGTACATACTCGCAACCTCTTAGTGTTAATCGTTTCAGCTTGGGCGTAATAAGGGTAAATGTATCCTGAACTGGGGCCAGCTCCACGTACTTCCAGGTGAGTTCCTCCAGGTTATCCAATCGAAGAGTCAGTTCATTCGAAAAGAGCGATCCATTGAACCAACCGTCCATGTGTAGATTTCGTAACAACGGAAACTGCATACTGCTGACGAAGTTACCATCGTCCAGACAGAATCCGTTAATTTGAAGTCGCTCAACTCTTTTGCAGTGCCGATTCAAGCAAGCAAGCATATCATTGTTGGCAAACGTAAACTCCACGTGGCGCAAGTTGGGCATATTGGTAAACTGGCAATCCCAATCGCGGCTCTGATACTCATCGATAGCCCGACGGATTATCAGTCGCTCCATATGCGGTTTATGTATTGCGAAGAAACTTTCCCACATGGTACCGTTCAAGTCAATCTCCACCGACCTAACATTGACGCAACCGGTCAATTCAATCAACGGATCCTCCCAGTACATGGCTTCCTCGTTTGCCAGCGAATCCAACACCACGGAAACATCTTCCATCTTCGGAACAATAAACCGAAACTGACAGTTCACCTTAGTAGAACCAGTGTAGACCTGCAGGTAGTGCATCTTCTTCAGCTGACTCAATTCAACTTCTCGAACCTCAACCGCTGGCCAAGCACGGTTCAATGTAAACTCCAGATTCAGCTCTGTGATAGAGTTGAATAGATGTCCATTCCACTGGAAGCAATCTCGCACCAGGTTCGGTTCTCCTACCAAAGATATAAACCCAATGTTCCACCGCTGAACAGCTTGCTTGAGGCAATCGTTGGTCTCTCGGTTCCATCCATCACTCAATGTGATAGCCAGCTGACGATAGTTTCGTTCACTCATCGGTATGACCTTCTGCAGATGCTCCGAGCGGGCGGGACCAATCGAGAATACTATGCTCCGGGCGAGCGTAGGGCACTCGAAGAGTGCCTGATTCCAATTGTGACAGACCAGCGAACATTGCAGTCGATCCTTGAAGCACAGTTGCTGGAAGATAGCCTCCAGCAGTTCCAGTGGAAGCAATGCCCAGTCCATGATGAGCTAAAACAGTTCTGATTGAAGATTATACTACGACGCGATAGGTATACTGTTGGTACTAGGTACGTATAATGTTTACGTCTCGCAAGCTACTGGACTGGGTGTGTGGTACGATATTTACCTGCATTGATGTGGGGTAGGGGACCTTGAGTGGATACGGTAGATACGCATGCGCATCACAAATATGCTTTCAAAGCATAACAGAGACTGTTGGCGCCATGACGGAATGCAGTGTTTTTGTCAAACATATTTTATATTATTCAAGACCAACAATTGGAAAGGCCCTAATTTTATTTTGTAAAGCCTTATTGTCGTGAACCGAAATCTGCCAACGCAAACCAAAAAAATGAACAGGTAGGGGAAATTCTACTCTACCCGACTGTGCTTTAGGTTTGCGAATGTGTAGGCTTCGACCTTACAAGGTTTGTTTTCAAAATGGAGTGGAGGCCTTTTCAATTGTTAGTCTTGTTATCATGTTAAACAGTGAAATTAATAGCGAATTCGTTTATTAATCAGTTCCAACCCGGATCGGGTATCAAGATTGGGTCTGCTTGTTTTCTGACAAACGTCAGTTTGCTCGTTTGTTTTTAAAACCTAGCTCAGGTTGAGGTTCACACTGACAAAAAGTTCGGTTTCGCACTGGGTTGGAACTGATGTGAACCCCGATAATAAACGAATTCGCTATAAATAATAGCGAATTCGTTTAGTATTCAGTTCCAACCTGAATCGGGTATTAAGATTAGGTCTGCTTGTTTTCTGACAAACGTCAATTTGGTCGTTTGTTTTTAAAACCTAGCTCAGGTTGAGCAGAGTCGATGTTATAATAATATGTTATTATAATAAGAGTCCTGCCAAGAGAAAATGTTGCGAACAAGCAGCACTGTTTGTGATTTATTTTTCGTCAGAGTAGGTAAACGCCAACCAGATTTTTTGCGTTATGCTGGGTTTAGACTAGGCAAGTCAAATGATCAACTCAGTTGAATTCAATTGGCTTGAAAAGTTGAGCTTGGTTCAACTTTTTTCAATTCAAGTGAGTTGATCAAGTCAGTTGAATGGCATCCCTAATAAAAATTGTATGGTTAATTTGCTTAACGACGTGTTCTGGGTATCATCCAAACAATTTGTGGAATAGTTCAATGATTTGGGTTATCGTTCGTTTATGGTTATTTTTTATTAGGGATGGTTTACACGTTCAATTCGCGTTCAAGTCAGTTGAATTCAACTGAGTTGATCATTTGACTTGCCTAGTCTAAACTCAGCTTTAGCATCGGATGACTTTCATTCAGAAGTAAAAAAATTCATGTCGATAACGGAGCTTCTGGTAGACAAAAACAATTATAGAAGCTGAAAAATGTTCAAACAAGTGCTTGGTATAACTTATAAATACCACAATGTACTAAATAAAGCGAAGAAATGTTTTTCATCTAAAATTACTAACATATTGTCAGTAATGAATGCAATACTTGTAGTTCACTGGCTGTGGGAACAATGATGTTTATTTACTTTGCTTGTTTGGTACCCCGCTTGACAGTTGGATTGGTACTTCTGGATTCACTCTTGGTGGGACTCTTCTTATAACATCGACTCTGGGGACTTATACCTAAATTATCTTGCAACCCTTGCTAGAAGCCAGCATTTCACATGACTTTCATTTTTGATTCGATTTACGTGCAAAATAATAATTCAGTGCCAACATTTCAAAGGGGCGTAATTGCTTTTGTAAACAATGACTTTACCCATAAATTTCTCGCGAATGAAATCTTACCTCTCCAAAATAACAATGCTAGCTGGTAAAAGAAACATTCCTCTACCTGCTGGTGTCATTATTTTTCATGAGTGAGCTTTTATTCGCGAGAAATCGACGGCTAAAGCCATTGTTTACAAATACAATTACGCCCCTTTGAAATGTTGGCACTGAATTGATTGCATCGCAAAAGGATCGAGTACATTCCTTCTGCCACACTTAAAGTAACGCACACGGTTCCCGTGCGCTGACTGTTCCTTACACGCTATTTCAAAACTACCCAAATTTGGGTAGAATGCACCCAGATCGGTCAAAACTGAACCTACCCAAAAATGGGTAAACGGTGTTGGGAGTGACAAGTTGACTAATGAACAACATCGACAAGCCGATCAGTTTTGACAGATCTGGGTGAATTCTACCCAAATTTGGGTAGTTTTGAAATAGCGTGTATTTTCTCACCCTAATGAAAATTTCTACCCCAAAAAAAGCTGTTGAATATTACATCCAAACTGCTGCAACCAGGTCAATCCATCGGTTGTGTAATATAACGTTGTACGATGTACATCGATTTTGTGAACAAAATTACATCCATTAATGTAATATTGTATCTGCCTTTTGCTATTACAACATTATTTCATAGATCAGCTTGAATTACATTGATCGATATTACATTTTTTTGCTGTGTACCTCAATCCTTTGCATTATCTACTTGCAGGGGCTATGGTTTGTCTAACATGCGGTGCATTTTACCCCAATGTTGTGGTGCGTTTTAGCCATTGTTGGCCGGCACCGGTGGTGTAGTGGTAAGCGTGACTGCTTTCTCACCCCAATGGGTCTGGGTCGTCTGGGTTCAATCCCAGCCGAGGTCGGTGGGATTTTTCTGAGGCATTAAAATCTCTGGCCACGTCTTCCTTCGGAAGGGAAGTAAAGTCGTTGGTCCCTGCCCATGTGTGTTGTATGGGTGCGATATCCTGCGCATGTGTGGAAGCTGCCTTCCTGCACATTCGATTGCCGTCAATGGATGGCAATCGATGTCCGTCGGTGATTGGCACTAGATTGCGGAACAGAGACCGACGTTAAATATAGGAAAGAAGAAGAAGACGATATTGGCATATTGCACCATGAATCAGGCGTTCAGCCCCGTTATCATTTTGGAACCGATTTATAAAATACATTGAAAATCATAAAAAAAACATCGTTTTGTAGTTAGAAATCACTCGATTTTCGTAGAAAACATGGCAATGAACCATACACCATTACTTTCTCCATGATTTTAGCTTCCATACGCTAGCGATTGACAATTTTGCTTAAACGATGTGTTTTGCACCATCCTGCCCTACAACCTCTTACTTTTTCAAATGCCAATTGATCGCCAATTTCGATAATATCTCTCTTCTAAATCTAAAGTAGAAGGCGAGGTAGAAGGAAAGCTAGGATTCGGATGATGTGGGCAAAAGTTTAAAAAAAAAATCAACCACCTCTCCATCCATCTCAGTCGAAAGTCAGTTGCAATCCTAATCAATTATCATAAATATTTATTTCATAACGGTCATGATTATTGATTCCTGAACCCTTCCAAATCTTTATATCCCGTTTGCCAGAATCGCCTTCGCCCGAAAACTGCAAATAGAAGCTTATCTTAGTTTCTCGGGTCAAAATATAAAAAAAAAATCCGTCTACCTATCGTACGAGTCCCCCCATTGCTTAAACCAGTTCTCAGAAACATGCCTCAATCAAGGTTCTACAGCCTTCAAAGTAAACATGATTGATTCACACATTTGGTCTAATCCAAATCTTCCTTATCACCAAAAAAAAGTTTCAGAATTATTTCTTATCTTCCCTGATAAAAATAACCATGAAAGAGTTCAATGGTTCTTCCACCTAAAAAAACGCATATCTGTGACGGATATACCATAGAGGTAACTCTAAGACCACTGGGTCCCGAAGAAAATCATTATTATTTTTGGCTCACTCAGTACCAGAACAACGGTCCCAAGCAGTCCCAAGCTATTTCACTCACCCCTGCATGTTCTGCATGAATCCACACACCCCTGATGTTATCTGTCAAACTTTCATAGCGAATCAAAACAAACATAGTGTAGTAATAGAATTTCAACTAGAATAGGGTACGTTAATCGTTTGCTTGGGACCAATAGGCTACTAAAGTGCTGAGCCAATTTAAAATCGTTAGTTTCGTATTGATTGTTGGATATACAGTGCAGGGTGATGATGATCTCATCGCTTACCCATACAAAGGTATCAGCTGGACGATTTATATTTAAGATACTTAAAGCAACAATCAATTCGAAACGAACTAAATTGGCTCACTACTTGACTAGCCTATTGGTCCCAAGCTAATCAATTAACGTACTCCATTCTAGTATAAATTCCAGTATTATAGTCCTCTCCAGGTGGATTCGTATTGGTGCTATTTGCGTGTGTTAGTGAGATGAAATTTTTTGTTAGCTGTGAGAAATTTTTTGTTTGCTGTAAGAACTGTCATTCTAAAGTAAAAATAAACAACAAAACGAAAACAAACCCTACGCTTGCACGGGGGTCAAATACCCTTTTATGAGTAAAATTTAAGCCATTTTTAATAAAAGTGGCTTTACTCATTAATGAGTAAATTATTTTAACAACAATGAGTTTCTGCTAACAGTAGCTAACAGCTACTACTTAATTGGCATAATAAATTACTCATTAATTAGTAGTGCCACTTTTATTGACAATGGGTTCACCTTTACTCATAAATGGATGTTTGATTCTTACCGTGCACATGACAGTATACGCTAGTGTGTAAAATTATATTGAGAAATCCAACTTAAACTCATGCGCACCTGGTGGCAGGAATAAGCACTAACCGACGGTGATAAGTCTGTGACAGCCCTTGAAAATTTCATTGATTGTTTGCAAAATTATTTAATTTCAATGTAATTTCATGAAAATTTCTTGTCAGCATGGATGAATCTTGTACAAAATGCATAAAACTATTTTGTAATGCATTGTTCTTAAATAAAAAGCTACTTCAAGACTTATAAATTACTGAAAACATGTTAAGGTTTGAAATCATCTGCCGATTAAACAACAGACAAAGTTGGCCGACTAAATCAATCGACGAAAAACTATTAAATAGGCCGATTGCTCGGTGTAGCACCAGACAAAAACGATTTAATCTGCTGATTAATACACCAACTGAAATTAATTTTTAAGTGACAATAGATTTAGTCGGTGGACGATTCGGGTGATTTTGATGATGTTTGTTTATTTGGAAGATATTTTCGAAACAAAGCACGATAAAA